ATCCCTTAGTATGCAGATCAAGTATGGTCACTGATTCAAATACATCATTACTAAAATGTCATTAATGAATGATGCACTGTATTAAGCAGTCATTCATACTTAATAGGCAGAAGTATTCGACCTTTTTGTCTAGTTTCTTTTTAAACACAGCTAGAGAACAATACCAGTGTAGAGGTTTTGGGTTACTGTTCTGTACATCCAAAGAGTTTAGCCTCAAATGACTGTTCCCAAACTCTGTATTGAGCATGCTCTTCTAGGTCAGCCAGTCCTCACAGATTCATCGATGCTAGGGTCAGAAGGGACCTCAAGAGATGGTCAGGTCTGACCCCCTGCCTAGGCAGGAAAGAGTGCTGGGGTCAAATGACCCCAGCTAGATGCCTATCCAGCCTTCTCTTAAAGACCCACAAAGTAGGGGAGAGTACCGCCTCCCTTGGAAGCCCATTTCAAATTTCTCAAAGCATGGAGGCTGTTTTGGCATTGGCTCATGCTGATATCCTCTGGGTTACTCTAGATTCTTGGCAGAGGTATTTGAACAACTGTGAAATGAGCTTTTGAGCTGGTGCTTCTGTATTGCTTGGTTCTGGTCTGTCTTCTGATAGTATGGAGCTAAACCTGTGAGACTTAGTAGAAACTGCCTGATTTGAAGAAACCTCACTGTGCCCTTTTGGAGTCTTGCAGATTCTCCTTTTGGTTTTCTTTAAGTGGTGACAGCATGTAATGGCTGAGATATTGAGCAATTGAATGAGGTTCTTGATGGAAAGAAATCTTGCTCTTGCTTCTGGTTTCTTCTATTGTTTTCACTTTTTCTGAACGGACCCTTGCAGCATGGCATACCTGAAACTCCAGGAGGATGCAGAGACAGCGGGCTGCCTAATAGTGTCAGTATTTGCTTAGGAGGAGTTCTAGTTCTTGTTAATGACACTGGGCAGCAGATGTTCATAACAGGATTGTTAAAGACATCATGGATCTTGTTGTAAATATGTGGGCCGAATGTAACCAGGACTCTGACAGTTCACTCTCAGCTCATCATGCAAGAGGATGATTTGAATGGAACTCTGCATCCCTTGTATATAAATTGTCAGGTCTTTCTCAACGTTAATTCCAGTATTTACTATGTGACTGGGGGGCTATGTCAGGATATAATCGTGGAATTTCAGTGAAGAACCTGGTGCCTGATACAGGCAGCTCCAAGTAAACTATTGCAGTATGTCCCTTCATCCCTCCTAGACTATCATTGAACAATAGTTGTGGCCTTTTCAAGTCCACTAATTCTGTCCTGGTGTAAAGCTAGTGTGTAGGCTAAAGATACCTAAGTTTGGAGGCAAAATATGTCTTTATGGTCCATGGGCATCTCTTGAAGAAGCTGAGACTAAAATTTGCTACTACGGAAAAGTTTTCTCCTAAATTAACCTAGGCACATGCTAAACTCCAAAGGTCTGTTGTGCCTTTGTCAGCAGCCACAGGAATAGCATTTAATCTGAATCTGTTGCTAGGATATTAGTTCTCTCCCACTATCAGCGTATCCAGGCAGCTTTCAAAATGGTATGTGAGGAAGTGTTTGGAAATAAAGCATATCTGTGTCTTAAATATGATTTGCAATATAAAATCCAATTTGCTGTAACTGTACAAATGTATTTCAATATGGGAGTACTGTGCAGCTACATAAATTTCTATTTTTCATCAGGGACCCTCAAAACGCTACCCTAGTCAAAAACCCCTAAAATCTGTTTCAACTTCAGTGGCTGCTGATGTTCTGGATGGGAACCAGCTAAACAGAACTTAATGCTTCTTATGCTGTCCTGCTGGCTATGTTCATTTGTATTTGTAACCTGTGGGTGCTATATGAACTAAGTTCCCACTTCAGAAGTCTTACTCTGTGACTCTCTTTTCTGTCCTATGTGGATTTTTGGCCATCATCTTCCCCGGTCCTAGTTGGTCCCATTCGCTTTGTTGCCTTCCCATTCCTAAAAGCAGATTTTTAATGGTGCGTAATTATGAGGTATGAAAGGTAGTGCCTAAGTTTTGTAATGCTTTGTTTTTTTTGGGGGGGGGATTTCAAAATCTAAAAACATTATATTTTTCACTTGTTTAGGTCAGGTTTTTAGAAAAATAAAAACTACCCACTTGTATGTGGATGTGTAGGAAATTAGTGATGAAAGCAAACTGGATCTGTTCTTCCTTGAGGACTAAACTATAACTTATCCCTTGCTGACAGAACCAAAAGAGGAATTTTATTTGGAAGCAGTGAAGCTGTTGACTTATGAGGCTAAGATGATCTCATTATTTTTTCTTTTAAAGTTAACTTCACAAGACTGACCCATTCAGAGAACTTTCAGAGTGCTATGGAAGAGAAGTCTTTTTGCTTTTTGGGGATTTTTTTGTATTTTGGGGAGGGGGTTGGTTTTTGTCTCCTTTTCTGTTCTTTGTTTTGTTTTTTGTATTGCTAACTGATTACAAATTAAATTGATGGTAATTCTCAAGAATCTGCTATTCTCTCTAAATAGTTCAGAATAGTTTTGGCTGGCTAGAAGAAGTTAAGGATCCTGAATGTAGGGTTAATGTTTCAGTGTCCCCATAACCGAGGCCTAAATCACATTTAGCATAATTTGTGGTGTTAAATTGGACTGATTTATCTAGGAAAGTGAAATAATCTCTCATCCTGTCAAAAAGACCAATACCTTCAGACCAGGATTTAATTGCATCAGCAGTGCAACTTTGGTAGGGTTCCATTCTGTCTGTCTGCATTATTCTTGGTTTGTGGCTAAATTGAAGCCATTATTTTGTAGTACTTCTGCTTCCTAATCCTGTGCAAGCATAGATATCCCTGATTTACAAAAATCACTATTGGTATCAACCCATCATCTCAATATTCAACAGAAAGATTGAGTTAAAAAGGAATAGTAAAAGACATTATAATGATGGCTCCGTTGCAGTATTCTAATGTTTGGAACATTTGTATTATGAAGCATCGAAAAATCAGTAACCTTTTATTTGAACTTTCATAGCAAGTTAAAAGCAAAAAAGTAAAAGGGCATTTGCCTCTCTAAACACCTGCATAATTCCTGTTGACCCTATGGGATATGCCTGTAGGGGTGGATCAAATATACTAGTAAGAATTTTGTGTTGTTATATTTTGATATGTAGACCTGTTTTAATAATTTCTTTTACAAAGCATGATAAGTGTCTCCTCCCATTAATGTAGCCATTACCAGGGTGTTAATTGTAATTAGGATATTTGTTAGGATTCTATTATTGTAAGCAATGTAATTGTGCTTATAATCATGTAAATGTAGCACTGTAATGTTCTGCAATGTAAAAATTTAATTTTTAGGCTGGAGGAGGATTGCCTCATGCCAAGTATAAAGGAAAATCAAGGCATCAAGATCTTTAATTATTTTAAACCTGCTCTCCACTCATCCTGATGTCAAGGTTGACCCTGTACAGTGCTGAACATCAGACAAGTCAGAAGCTGCAGGGCAAGCGATTAGTCACCCCTTTTTCTCTAGTTCTTGTGTAAACTTCATCTGCGTGCTTGAATTTTAGTCTAAGCCCATAGAGAAGAGACTTAAATCTGTACAGCTTTTTAACCTTTTATCTGCATGAGCATATTCATATTGTGCTTCAGAATATCCCTTTCATATTTCTTAAAAATAACCAGGTATTGATCTGTTGCTAATCTGATATAACCTTTTTGTGTGTATTGATTACAAATGCTTTACTCATGGGAGGCAAATCAAAAACTGGCTTGGCTGAGCAGTTCATCATTTAGGGCTGAACTTAAATTGTCATGTTTTAGTTGAATATTAAATGGATGACTACTCAGATTATTTAAACAGGAGGCAGAATGGACCATCACTCAGAATGGATTTTTGTTTGTGTTGCTATCTCAGACATTTAATAAAACTGTCATTTAGCTCTGAGTACCCAAACTATCCATTCTTCTGATTTGACTGTAGTGAAGTGACCCAGAACTTTATGGTAAATATTTGAGTTGCCAGCATGTGCAGTGTGGTTATCAAAGGTGTAACATGGTAGCCCTGTGCCTTAGGCAGCTGCAGTACAGCTGGCTCATAGCTGCTGCATCTGTTGGGGTTTTTTTTGTCTGTTTATTTGCACCCTGTCACCCAAGTGGGTCCTGAGGGCTGTGATACCTCAGTTGTGTGTACCATTCTTTCCCTGCCTCTCCCCCAGGGGTGATGGGATGCCAGGTGTGGGGTTCTCATGGGGGGAAGACCATGAGCCCCCTAGGGCCAACAATCAGTTGATTGTTGGTCCCATGTAGAGGGCTTTGGACATGCAACTTTCAATTTGTCAGTGGATGGGGAAGCCCAGGATTATGATCAGGATGAGTGGAGAGCAGGTTTAAAATAATTATAAAGCTCCTGATGCCTTGATTTTCCTTTATACTTGGCATGTTTATGATCCTGGGCTCCCCCTGCACTGGTAAACAGTAATGATGCAATTGTTATTAAATCCCTGGTCCTGCCCATCGCACTCCTGCCATGCATGTGTGGCAGAGTAGGAGACTCAGTCATTGAGAATAGAGATCAGATTGCATTATGCCATTAAATGAATATGTGCTGGGGATCATAGCATATTGTCACTAGCTCCACGGTGGCACTCTTTACTCAAAGTATTTAAAATTTCTAACAACATCTTTTTTTCTGATGAATCCAAAATGGTTGGTGCCAACTGTGGCTTTGAAAGTAGATTGCAAACAGAGGCACCAACAGGCCATCAGAGAGCACTGGTGTGTAGAAATATTGTTTTGTATTTTGGCATCACCTTAAGCATTGTTCTAGGCCACAGAACTACTTGTACTTTTTGCATTAAAGAGGTTAGATAAACTACATACGCAGTGTTGGGACTGTGGACCAGAGCCCCTTAGCTCTACCCTCTTGGAGGAGTGCTCACTTGACTGCAGTTACCGAGATTAGTCTAGCTAAGATGAGTTTCTCTCGTAATGAAGCAAGCTTGTTTCTTTTTTTTTCTTTTTGCAGCTGTACCACCAAATATTGCGGACCTGAAGAATTTAGAAGTGTTAAACTTTTTCAACAACCAGATTGAGGACCTTCCTACTCAAATTAGCAGCCTTCAGAAACTTAAACACCTGAATCTTGGGTGCGTATCTTTAAAGCAAAAATTAGCTATAGAACATTCAAGAAGTTATCAGTTAATAGCAGTTGCATCTCAGTCAGAACTTTTATTGCGTAGAAAACTCCTTCTCTGAAATTATCATGAGCAACTCTCAAGTTGATCATCTAGTCTCAAAAACTGGTGCATGAAAAATATACTGGTCTTGTATTTAATTAAAACAGAGCAATAAATAACTGTTTTCCCATTACATTGTGCTGCAGTCAATGGTATTGGTAACTAATAGTGACCCACTTGTTGGATTCAAATTTAATTTTGTTTCGTGTGTGTGTCAAATGTAGTTTCCTTAACTATTATTCCTATTTATTAATTTTATTGTCACTGGTTAAGATCTAGGAACTGCTGTGTCCTTTCCTCCTTAAGTTCTCCATACGATACTTAAGTTTCAGTGTTGATTAACTTTTAATTTTGTTGCATCAGTTCTGTGATTGAGGAGATGCAACTTCCATTAAGTGTATATGATTTTTATTATTTTCTTTCTTCAACAGGACTGCAATGATAAAAATGTAACATGTCAATTTACATCTTTTTGTATTCAGGAACACTTGTATAATTAACTGTTATTAAACAAGTGTGTATGTCAGAGAGGATATAAATTTTTTTTGTCTGTGCAGACCATGTCTTCCCTGACTTAGATGACTCTGCAAAACACTGATCACTGAACTGCGTCATTGGCTGCTGTCATGCAAATATATCTTTTCATCTCTGCAACAAAGATGGTTCTGTTCCTGACTTTGTCTTTGGTTGCCTACCTTAGTGGAGTAGGTACTAATTCTCAGCAGCCTTTGCTGACTTGGAATTAACCAAGAGACTCAAGAATCAACATATTTGCTCAAACAAACACAATTCCCAGTATATCACAAATACTTGGCTAAGGTTAAATTCATGGTTTAGGCTGCACTTATTAAAGAAGTCATGCTACAGCAATAGGGAGGAGGAAAAGTTGGGCACTTCCTGCATGAGATGAGTGACAGGCTTTGCCTTCTAAATATATGTGATTCCTGCATTTCTTTCATTGATACTTTGTTTGGAAGTAGAAATATTTTTTTTTTTGCTTGTTGAGCTTTATTGTACTTCAGTCTTGCAGACAGTAATCCAAAAGCTGTCTTCTATGTATAACATTTGTGATGTGTTTTATATTTTATGTATGATGTATATCTGTATTCTGGGGGCACATCCACACAAGCCCACACATGTTTCTTGTGGTGTCTCGAACCCCTTTGAGACGCTGCAAGATGCACGCTGGGAACAAAAATACATTCCCTGCACTGCAAATATGCAGCATAGGAACAAAAATTTGATACCTGGATATCTAGGTGCCAAAAATACCCTAGGGGGGAAAAAGCAGGGCAGGGCACAGTCCCAGACCATGCCCTGAGGCAACTGGAGTCTTGGTCTCTATGGCTGGCCCTTGTCCTGGTGCTGAAGCATGCTGCCTGCCCATGCAGGGCAAGCACCCATGCAGGGACCTGGACTCGGGCTTTGTGACAAGTAAGTGGCGGGAGGGAGGCGGGGCTGCAGGAGGGGGCAGGGGACCGTGGGGCGGGCCCCACCTGGCCCCAGCTTCCTGATCACTCCCCCAGCCATCCCAGTTGCTCCTCCACCCAGCCCCAGCTTCCTGATTGCCCAGTGTCCCGGCACTAACCAGCTGCAGCAGCGGCTGTCGGGGCCACTCGGTGCCTCTTGGTACAGACACCCCCACGTGGCGGGGGGCAGTGGGGATCAGCCCCAGCTGCCTAGTACCCGCACTGCCACTGCTGCGTCGGGGGCGTGCAGCCTGGCTCAGCAGGGCGCCATGTGGCACCGTGCGCTGTCAGGCAGATTGGGGCCGCTCAGGCTGAGCAATGCCGAACCCCATTGAGAGCCTCAGCTGCCTGACAGTGTGCAGCACCATGTGGTGCTTTTCTGAGCTGGGCTGTGGTGAGCTGTGGCCCTGTGTGGGGGCAGTCTGTGAGCTGTGGGGAGGAGAGGGAGGCTGCACCCTGCGTGAGGTAGGGGATCCTGCTCAGCACTGCGCAGCCTGATGAGTGAAGGGGTTAGGGGCAGCTCTGATTTCCCCCCCCCCATGGCAAAAGCCAAAAATAAATGCTAAACTGTATAGCTATTTAGAATGTATTTTATTATGATAGAGGCACTGGTAGGCTTCCACATACCTTTAAAATTGTAAATATATCAATAAAACATTGCCCAACTGATCTGATCTCCCTCTGTCTCTGTATAGCGGTCTTTTGTTCTAATTTTGGAAGACCATAGATTTTTGGGGTATTTTACAGAGTGACTTGGGGATTTTTTTTATTGGAGACTTGGTGTTCCCTATTCAAAATCTACAAAGATTCCTGCTACTGAGGCAAGTGGCAGAGAAGCCAGTTCAGAGCTGACACCCAGGACCCAGCTGGAGGTGGCTGACCTCCCGGCCACTTGCGGCCAGGAAGACATGCTTTGACAGTTCAAAGCAGGCCACCACACTGAGAACATCTTCTGGACGATAGCTGCCCAGATGGCTGGGCGGTGGCACACATGACACTACTGCTGCATAAAGGCCAACTGTGCAGGCACAGCTCACTGGCAGCTGGCCCAGAGGGGCAGATGCCTCTAATGCCTGTGCAGTCTCCATCTGGATCTGGCAGGTGTGCAGCCTTGGGGCCACATGTCGCAGGTGGCAGCAGGTCACAGCTAGGCAGCAGCCCCCACTGCCAGACTGGGTAAAGGGTCAGAACTCTCAGGGCTGCTTCAGCAGTCTAGCTGGCACAAGACAGTGTCCCCAGGTATCAATTGGCTACACCCCAGAAGCTCCTGAGAGCAAGTAGCCCTAAGCTACTTGCCAGAGCAGCTTTCTTATACTGCTGGGGCCAGCACAGGGCAGGGTTTTTATACTGCTGGGGCCAGCTCTAGCTCCCCTTGGCTGCAAATCTGGGAAGTCAGGCAGGGTTATTTTGTCCTAAGTGGCACAGTTTGCCCCACACCGAAGTGCATGTCCAGGCACATGCACTGAGGCAAATAGCTCCCACTCAAATTTGTGTCACTTCTGTTTGAGCTGCTGCAAGTGCATGTGTGGATGCACCCTGGGTGTCCATTGCCATGATATCTGAATGCCTTGCATGTTTTTAAATTAATAGTTACAAAATAACTTTGTCTAAAAATGTCTCAGTTTCTTAAAAGCCCAGTTCATTTGCCCCTTCCCCTCTCACCCATTAAATCAGTGAAAAAGCTTTGTGGGACTTGTAGCTAAACTCCTTTGTGGAAGCCCATAGTACAACTGAACAGCCAAGACATGACTACTCCTTTCCACTTGATTCATATCTTTGCCTAAACTGCTTGGCTTTATTTTTTGTACAGGTATTTAAAACCTCCAGCTTGAGAAAATACTTTTGGTTTCCAAAATAATCTAGATATAACCCCCTATGGCTTTCCTTCCACCAGTGTCTTAAATCTAAACTAATGACAGAAAATATCCTGATGGTCCTTCCTTTGTTCAGCAAAAACCTTCACCTTCCCCCACTCCACTGACCTCAAGTTCTCAATATTTTTCCTAAGTGTTTTTTTTCCCGCCCTTACCTGATACCTTCAGGGCAGAACCATCAACAAAGTAGTTGCCCACTACCACCATTTGTTCGCTTACTTATTCAGGGCCCATTTCTAACATGTTTGGAATATGGGTAGAGTAATTTTTGGAAGAAAGAGCAAGTGATGAGAGAATGATGTGCTGCCCCAGTACAAGTGTTATCGCACACAAGCTGAAAGCCTTTATGTTTATAATGTAAGGACTGCACATATCTACAATTTAGTATTTTGAAGAGGAGCCTTTAGACCAGTTCTCTCATGAGGGATTAGGAGTTTGATACGAAGAAAACCACTTGAGGAGAAACTACCTTTCTGGAGGCAAGACGTTTCTGTAAACACTTTCCTTACTGGCTCTTGGGTGAAGTGGGCAGCTAGCATGTCTCTGATTTTAGGGCATGAATCCTTCTATGGCTGCGCTAAGAGAGGCAGAGGGACAGTTCAGCAGTCATTAGACTTGGCCAGTCTGAGAATAGCTGACTGGAGGTGTAAATTGAACATAGCTAGTCTGAAGATCAGTTGCTTGCCTGCCAGCCTTTTTGACCTGGAACAGATAACCCGTGGACAAACAGATAGGTGTAGTTGGCACCATCCCTGTGCCACCATTGACTCAGGTTTCTGGATACTTTCTGTAGTAGAGCATGATGATTCCACAGTGCATGCCCTCAACATTGTTGGAGGCAAGGAAGGGGGCAGCATTACGATTTTGCCTCACCTCTGTGAAAATTGACCTGTGGCCCTGCAGGCAAACTAAAGTTGGTAAGGAGGAAGAGTGGATAGCCTGCGGGTCGGGTAGAAGTCTGGAGGGCTACAAACTTGGAGAGACTAGTGTAAGCCAGAACTTTTCCCTTAAGAACAAGACGGATGCCAAGCACTCAAAACCACCCTCTGAAGTATGACCATAAAGGGTGGAAAGAGATGTGGGAGCTGGAAGCAACCTCTCCCTCCCCCAAATGCTTGTAAACATCTTGGCTATGTAGCCACTTTATCCATGTGCAGCTGTGGCCAAAATGTCCAACAAAAATAAGCAGTTCAAGAGTGAACGGGAGAGAGTTGTGACTAAAGTGTGGGCACTGCTACTGCTAAGTTTCATTCTCTACTGTCCAAAAGCCAACTTGAAGACCTGGCATGCCTAGCTTTTCTCTCTGTGGCTCCCAATCACAAAACAAATTAAAACAGTTTTCAGGAAAAAAATTAAATATGATTTCTATCCATATCCACAGAGCTCTTCAGCATAAGGCACATTTAAAAGGAGAGGTGTATTAATTTTGACAGAATGCCTTGATGTTATTTCCCACCCTGCATCCCCTCCACTTGTTGTGCAAGAGAGAGAAGAGGAATACTAGTGGCTAGGTAAAGTGCTGGACTACGATAGTGAGTATAGGTTGTAGTTGTGTTGTTCTAAGGACGTTGGCAGGCACAGTTCTTTGGATAAATCTGATGTCTTTTAGTAAACCAAGTCAGATGGAAAAATTCTTCTTTGCAAGCTTTCAGGCACAAACACCCTTCACCAGGCTGAGGAAACATCTGTAGGTAGTCTGCTCTTCCTGGATGGAATGAAAAGTACAGAAGCCAGAAGTTGTTATCCATACAAGAAAGCCAGTCAGTAACTATGTAAATTAAGGAGTCAATGAATGAGAGAGAGGTCTTTGGAGGGGAGGGATGAATGTAGCTGGTAAACAGTGGAGAGGTACCTGGGCAGTCGGAAGTAAGGCAGGTTATAATGTGTCATAAATACAATATCTATATTTAGTCCATGATTTTTTTTTGTATCCAGTAGGTTGATGAGGTGAAGTTCATAGGCTCATCTGCAAAAAGTGTTTTGTAAATTTCCTTTGATGATTAGAACTGAGAGATTGGGGGAAGAGAGAGAGAGTGGTTTTCTTGTGAGAAATGTCCTCCCACAAGTAATTGGGTATGCTTGTGCTCTAAAAACATAGACCACCTTCCCAGCAACACCCTCCTAGCCACTATGGATGTTACCAACTTATATACCAACATCCCACAACCAGGGATGCAAGCCTGCCTTACATACTTACAGGAGCAAGATGACAACTCTGAGTACAGACCCAAAGATATTACTCACCGTATACAATTCATCCTCACACACAACAACTTCACTTTCAATTACCAACACTTTCTCCAGAGCATAGCCACAGGTATGGGCATGAAAATGGCTCCACAGTATGCCAATCTTTTTATGAGCCACCTGGAAGAAGAATTCCTCAAGGACTGCACCATCAAACCCTTGCTATACTTGAGACATATCGATGACATCCTCATAATTTGAACTGAAAACCTGCAGTCTCCGATTGTTTTCTATCAGAAATTCAACAAGCATTACCTCTCCATCAGGCTATCTCTTGAATACTCCAGCACCAACATCTCCTTTTTAGACATGATGATTACTATCCAGAATGGTAAAATACAGGCCACAATATACATGAAACCCACAGACTAACATCTATATCTGCACAGAGCCAGCAATGATCCTAAACACCAAGAAAGCTGTAATATACAGTCGAGCCCTCCAATACCACCACATTTGCACTGAGGAGAACACCCGGGCTCATTACCTCACAAATCTCAGAAAGGCTTTCATTCAACAAGGGCACCCCTCCAGAGAAATGGATCACACTTTTGAAAGAGCCACCCAGATACCATGTGAAAAATTCCCACAGTACAGAAGGAAAACCCCTGTGAATCGCACGCCACTGGTTATGACATATCAACCCTCACTGGAACCTGTATGGAAAATCCTCAAACAAATTGCAACCCATACTAGAAGAAGAGCCAATTCTTAAAGAGATCTTCCCAGAACCACCCATCCTAGCCTTTAAACGATCACTGAACCTCGCTAGCCTCATCTACGGCCCAAAATGCACCGAATGGATCAAGATCATGCCAAGACAAGAAATGTAGAACCTGCCAATGTATCTCTACCGTCCCCCCACTTACTACACCCCACAACAGAACCATCAGCATTCTTGGATGTTACAGCTGCACTTCCAGAAATGTAATATATCTCATCCAATGCACCAAATGCCCTGATGAAAAATATGTAGAAGAGACCAAACAATAACTGTGTAGTAGAATGAATGCACACTGGAAATCTATCAAGGACAAGAATACCCAATTACCTGTGGGACAGGTAAAGAACCTTTGTGGGACTGTGATAGTGTTATATGTGTATGCCTGGCTTTGACACAGATTCCTGAAGTGCATTTGGGCAAGCTTTCTTTCCCTGCCTATACTTCTGTGACCAGTAATGCTTCCTCTACTTTGTAGGAAAGGTGTAAAGCTAAATACCTTGTTCATGAAGAATTTGGATTCAGGTGAGGGTTTATAAATTTAATAGATTTCTAGGGTTGTAAGGGACCTATTAGATCATCAAGTCCAACTCCCTGCTCTGGGCAGGAAAGAGCACTGGGGTCAAGTAACCCCAGCCAGGTGCTTATCTGATCTCCTTTTGAACACCTCCATGGTGTGTCTTGAAGCAAGTGTTTTGCACATTGTTTCAAGCTTATCTGTGAAACTTTTTTCTTCTATGGTTTTCACAGTGATATGTGGTCCATTACACATGATTGCTTTACAGATGAATGTGATGTCGTGCAGAAAATATGCAGAACTTTTGGCAAAGGTAATATCTTGTATAGATTCATTCTGCAGTCATCACAAGGTAGTTCCTGATGTTTTTGCTACTATCTAAGAGCTTTCATCATGTAATTTAATTCTTAAATAACTAGGCAAGTTGGGCAGTGTCCTTCAATATGGTTTTCTCTGCCTTTGAATCAAACAGTGTGATTTCAGGTGACATCCAGTGGTTGACTGATCCAAAGTGATAGTATCCAGGCATCTGCTCTGCCTCCAGCTGTTATTTCTGCCAAATAAATGTATATTAAAATGGCTTTGTCTTTTGTGTTGCTTCCAGTTGAGGGTCCTCAAGTGAATTTAGTTTAGGCTGTGCAAATAACTTTTTTCATAATTAAGCTGATTATAGTGCTAATCGCATGACACAACAAGAGATGCTTTTTGAATTGAGAGCTTGAATGCCTGTGGTACTTCCACAGGCCAAACAGGTCTCTCATCAAGCACATCTCCATGGTAGTGTTCTGTCTGACTTTTTTAGTAAATCGCAGTAATTTTTAATATCAGCAAGAATTTTGCAGTATTGCAAAATTTCTAACTTCTCAGTTTTGCTTAACATGGTCCACCTTATTTCCTTTTTATTTTTAATGAGACTTACTGTGATGAATGGGTGCAGCATCTTTTTACATGGGCAAGAACTCTTGTTGAAAGGTTTATGCTAGAGCATTTCTCATGCAGGACTGAATGGACTTTACAGGCAAGGTGAGCCCATTTGACAGAGAGCACTGAGAGTAGCATGGACTTGGGATGTCCATCTTCAAAACCACTTCCTTGAAGGTTTTTTGGTTGTTGTTTTTCAGTTTGATCTTCATGGAATCTCTAGCCAATCTAAAATCCTTCCAGGTTTGTAAAGCAAAAAAATCCATACTGAAAAATAACCGATTGAATAACGGTCAAATTCTACTGATCCTAGACTAGATAGTCTTTGACATGTTTATTAGAAGATAAACAATAGTTAATGTTCCTAGGATGTGTTTGTTCTTTCTCCCCTCTGATGCTTTGGATGAGTATCGTAGGTGAGGAGATTATATCCTGCTGTGTTGATATGCCTCTATAACCTCCACAACAGGTGATGGAGATGTAGTTTTTGATAGTTTATCTGTGTATTTCCTTAAGTAATTTCTGTGTATTTCCTAAGTAATTTGGACTGTGTTCATTAGAATTGGATCAATGTTTGTGTGTGCTTGCAGTCGGTACCAATTCTTACAACTGAAAAACTTTTGGAGATTAAATGGTCAATATAATGACAACACACTGCCTCAGTTTTGGATATCTAACTTGGTTTTCTTAAAATGCTGTCAGAAATGCTGAGCACCTATTCCCCTTTTGCAAGGGGGATACCAAAAATAACCAATAAGTTTGGTAAAATTTAGGCCCAGACTCTTCTCCTTGGCTGGAAGCATTAACCTAAATCCAACATGCCATCCTCCATACATCTCAGTTTAGAGAGATGGTGCTTAAACATTTTTTTAACATACAGTCGATTACATATGGTTAAACATTAAAATCAACAGCATGGTACACAAAATTTAATAATTAATTATTGGCTGTTCCCCAACAGAGGAAGTCTACAGAGGAAAAAAAACTAGATTCGTGTTCATAGTACAAGAATTACAGAAAGCAGTGATGGATTTACCTTGGTCCATGTATAGTCTGACTGAAGGGTCAGACTCAGCATGTTTTCACATGTTAGTCAATATGAACAACTGTATTTGAATCTTGCCTTTGGGTGTAAGAAATAAGATAAAATAATAATGTTCCTATTATAGATAGCCTGTAGATGGATTGTAAACTTTACGTACCAAGTAGGGAAATCTCTTGTGGTTAAATCGGCATTCATGCCGAAATGTGAAATGTTGGTTCAGTAAATATCCCTATATGCCTAAGGCGATTGCCCTGTTAAACAGTTGACACCTGCTCCTTATCTCATTGAAGTTTATGGTAAAGAAGTCATCAAAATTAATTGCAGTAGTTGAATACTGTAATCCCATAAAAACTTGTTGAGGGTCCTCTTAAAAGAACTGACAGTGTTAACAGTAATACTGTTGTCACTGCCACCTTCAGACTACCTGCTCCACTTTCAAGGTTGTTGTTTTTGTTTTTGTTTCTGTTTGTTTGGGCTTTTTGGAGGGGGAGGAGGGTTCTCACTTAGTCTCCAGTCTCTGTTTTATGCTTCATTGGTTCAGCTTGTCTCCCACCTTCTTTAATCTCCTCCTAAAATGAGTTCTATTCACTCGTCTCAAGCCCTGTTCACACACTTGGCATGTTTCCTTTATTTGCTGTATTACTTTTAGTTTTGTGTCTCCATTTCTTCCTTGACTTGTTACTTTTGTTAGCTAATCAGCATTTAAACCTTTACAAGGTTGCACTTGGGCGCTGCCTAGCATTAACATTTGTCAGAATCTCTGTATTCTAACACTGGTTTACAAGCACCAGTTTACAAGTGCAGACCACATGTATTATTTATGCTTATGATGAAATAAATGCAACTAGGGTACTCCATGTGATGTGTTTCTGTAATCCTATACATGTCTTTTCTCTTTGTCAAAAGTATGAATAGGTTGAATACCTTGCCTAGAGGATTTGGCTCTTTACCAGCTTTGGAGGTTCTTGACTTGACTTATAACAACTTAAATGAAAATTCCCTGCCTGGAAACTTCTTCTATCTGAGTAAGAGACTTTTTTTTTTAAATCTATACATCTTCTTGAAATTGTGCTTTGCATTCTGCAAGAAAAAATTTATTTGATAGAAACCAAACTCTAACCAAATATTTTAGATATATATGTGATTCTTCCTTGGGCCCTCTTGAATATTTCTACATAGCTCAGCAATATGTATCATTGATATACAGTCACCTGACACCATTGGACATATGAGGACTTGGTTAGTAATGGTGTATTAGCTTTCTTCTTGGTAGTATTTCTTTAAGTCATATACTAAAATTTCATAGACGCCAAGAAGCTTTGTGGAACAGTAAAGAACGTCACCTTGATGTGTATTGACTATCTGAAAAAGAACAAGTTTCTGATTGCTTTTTATGAAAACATATAACAGCTTTGTGTGTGTGTGTACACATGTACATTTATATCTATATATAAATTATATAATATTGAAATGCATGCATCCAAAAAACGTGTTAAAACCATGTTCCAGTTGTAAGGTGCAGCGCTCAGAAAGGCCAGAATTAGGTTTGCCTGCATGCATGATGTGCTATATGAGCATGCAACTAAAGACTGTCATATAATGCATACATACAGGATGGCTGGAGGAACCTTGCATAGGCATTTCCTTATTTCTGGCATTTTAAATGCTAGAATGTTTTATTTGGTTGTTTGTATGTTCTTTTCTGCATAATGGTTTTTAATGATCAGAAGTTAAAATTTAAAACAGTGGCATGCAATGCAGGTAACAAGGGAAAAACTTGTGACAGGAAACACAAGACCTGCTCCCTGAAGCAGGAGGAAGGGATCCCTCCCCCAAGTCATCTCTCTTCCAGAGTATTCACTGTTGTCTCTCTTTGTCTTAATATTCCTGCAACGGATCTTGCAACCCCCTGATGCTATGTGAATAAAAATGAGCTGAATAGTTCCACTGGGCCATCTTTTCCCCACTTCTACTACTGGAGGATGAGAGAGAGTATATGTATGAAAAATTATAAATGGTATGATTTCGAGCTCAGCTGTATTTGTATTTTATTATCCAGTCTTAAGGTCTTTTTACACTTATACTATGCTCTGTTATCAGTAAAAATAAGAGTAATTTTTTCCAAAAACTCGGTCTATTTTTTGTATGTTTTGGATATAAATTGGGTAATAAATAGGAATCAGAGGTAATAAAGAGTAATGGCTCTTGTTCTGACAGCTCAGCATTGAAACTGTGTGCCAAAACCTGCCAGAATTTACTGTAGTAGAAATTGTTAATTGTGTCAGTCCTTTTAGATATAGATGTTTCCTGAACTCGCCAACAATACAATAAGCCAGTAAATCTAAGTTTGACCTGCTTGTTATTATTGTGAGCCCTGGGTATGTCAAAGGCTTTTCACCAAGTCAGGGTTATTAATCAAACCTGACTCCCTTTTATTGATCAGACCTCAAACAGTTGGGTTATATGCCACCCTGTTTATATATTGCTGTTTAATTTGCAGCCACCCTGCGTGCACTCTATCTAAGTGACAACGATTTTGAAATCCTGCCGCCAGATATTGGGAAGCTCACAAAGTTGCAGATAGTAAGTAATTTATCTAAATTCTTGGAAAATCAATTCACTTTCACAGCCCTTGTGGAAGTAGAATCTAGTCAATTTGAGAAGTCGTGAGGTTTGTTTTGAAGGAATAGCCCACTACACCTGATACCGTTTCTTGTTTATCTGCAGTACTTGTAAATAAATTGGAAGAATTGACTGTTTGGGGGAAGGCAATGGGCAGAGAGTAGAGTTCTGTTTTATGTTCCATTATTTTAACTGAAAATTGTTCTGACAACTTTGTATTCTCTGTAAGCTGAGCCTTAGAGACAATGACCTGATATCACTGCCTAAAGAAATCGGTGAACTCACTCAGCTTAAGGAACTTCATATCCAGGGAAACCGCCTAACCGTGTTGCCCCCAGAACTAGGTAAGCTTGTAGAAGGTTGTTTATTTACTTGAGTAATGATAATGCAGTGTGTTTCCAACTGGATCAACTAAACCAACTATTAATCTCTAAGAAATATTATTTGCTGAAGTTGTCATTGCTGCTATTATCTATTTATTCTCATAGAAACCAACCTGCTCTTTTTCTTATTGGGCATCTGTGAATGTGCTTAGGAGAGGAGGAGCTAGCGTATGAGGCAAGTTTTACCAGATAGCAAAATTTGCATATCATATTCTGCTTTGTATACAAACTGTTTTAGGGTGTATATCTGATAAGGCTTAAAGTCTAACTGGGTATGTTAGAACAGTTGTTTTATTCAGCAAAAAATCTCTTTAGTGTTTTAAATGGCTGGATAAAAATGGTATGTTAGGATGTATTTTGTGGGTGGAGGTTTTGTTTTGTTTTTTCTCTGAAGCTTGCTTGTGTTAAGAGAAGTTTGGCCAAAAAGAATAAGATAAGTCTAAGTTACTTGTTAGACTTTTAAGTCTGTGTTTTAGTATCTTGTCTCATGTTGGTTCAATTACTTTTTTCCTGAAAATAAGGAAACTAGAAGATTACCGATCCATTTTTTATTACTTTATTTCATCACTAGGAATATTTTTTTTCTTTAGTTGTTTTCATTTGAAAAAAGAAAATCTGGTTGTAGGTTAACATTCATTTATTTATTTGGTTTTTAAACTGCCCTATAAAGCTCACAGTGGCTTACAAATTGCATGAATTTGCCTTGCAGTCCCTCCTATATGATGATGGAGTTGTACCTGAAATAGTTCATGGTGTTTTATGATAACCTTTAAAAAACCTTTTTGCTTTAAGCAAGGAGCTGCTTCAGTTATCCATTGCTGGAGCACCTGTATTTTAAGCAGGCACAGTTTTTTGCCCTTTCAGCTAATATTTCCTGAAACCAAAATGAAAAACAGTTTGGGAATGTAATGGTGGAAATGTTCGTATTATATGAATCTATTGCAGCCAGTTTGTGTGTTGATTGGTGGCTGTTTATGTATACATAGCACTCGGATATCTAAATATTTATTTTATATTTTAAATAGGAGAGCTAAGCTTTGTTACACAAAGGCTAAAGAAAATTGTTTGCGTGTTTGGAAGGACAGATTTTTGGGTCTTTTTTCCCTTTTTTGGTTCTGTTACCTTGTTCCATGTCTTTCTCTCATTGTAGCAGACTGTACCATGCTGAAGGTTCTTTTTCCCTCACCACTAATAGCCAAAAGATACTCTTCTAAATCCTTAATTTTGGATGAGTGTGTTATATTTCATGATGTTGATATATAATTTTCTATAGCTTTTTGTCAGAATTATGTTTAGTTTTGTTCAGCTAAAATAACATTTTAGAAACCTGTGCCATTTAATATGAATGCATTTTTTTTATGGATTCCTACTTTATAGTCCTGGAATTCTTCAGAGTGGAAAGTAAATTCTGTAATGTGTAACCAGTTTTGGTGGCTAATTAAAGTGTTGTACACATACAGCTGGTTGCCTTAGAAGTATCCCAGCAAATTCATATGAAAAACTGTTTGTATACAAGGGTAATGCTTGGAACAAAGGTCTTGAAATGCATCCTAGAGTGACCTGACAAATGCAGAACATGTTGCTGATGCATTTCTTTGCAATCAGATTTGACTTGGGTTTGTTTGTATCGTGATGATACTGAAACTGTATTGCATGAAAGGGACTTACACTATCGAAATGGTTTTGCATCAGAGTATATTAGCTGTGCAGCAAGATTTCTCATGACATTCCTTACGAGACAGCCTTCTACTATAATGCACATATTAATTTTCTTATATTTCTTGTTTATAGTCTCACCCATGAATCCTTACTTATGATATAATAGCCCATTTCTCTTGCATTCTGTGCCCTGTATAATATGAGAAGTATATCAACTTTTTTTTAGCTTTTACTTCTAAAGAGATTTGTATCTCATTCTGACTGTGTAACTTGTTTCCTATAATTATGTTTATTACAAGAAAAAGAGTTGTGTTTACTAGTACTTTGGTCCCTTGTGAGAAAACTAAGTTATGAGGTGTGTAGGGACTCGTGTCACAGTGATGGCTCAAGTATACATATTAGAATAAAGCCAGTTTATTTGGAGTGGGAT